GATAATTTAAATAGCTCACAGCAGCAAGGAAGCGGAGAAACTGGTTTCCCCAACAGCCAGGATATGTTTATCACCCTGGACCTGGAACCAGTAACCCCCGAACTCACCCAAGACCCTGTGGGCACACAGGGGACCTCTGGTGAGTGTACCTTTGTAAATATTATACATGGTTTAAAAGCAAGCGTGTTTAATGATTAATGATTAATTTGCCCTGGCAATCGCGGCCAGTACAGCTACTGGAAAAGTCTGTTAACGTGTATGGGGATGGAGCGGAAATCCTCCAGGGACATCTCCAGAAAGCTCTCCTTCATGTACTCCCAAAGCCTTTGCAAAAGGTTTCTGGGGAGGGCTGCCTTATCCCGTCCGCCATGGTAGGACACTTTACCACGCCAGGCCAGTAGCACGTAGTCTGGAATCATTGCATAACAAAGCATGGCAGCGTATGGTCCCGGTGTTTGCTGGCATGCAGACAACATCCATTCCTTATCGCTCTTTGTTATCCTCAGGAGAGTGATATCATTCACGGTTACCTGGTTGAAATGGGGCAATTTTATTAAGGGGACATTCAGAGGTGCCCCTTCCTGCTCTGCTGAACAGAAAGATTCCCCGCTGTTAGCCACGCGGTGGGGGGAGGGGTGAAGTGATCATCCCAGAGAATTGGGTGTGTGGGGGAGGGTTATTAGTTGGGTTTGTGCTGCACGTTAACCCTGAAACCGCAGCCCCTCCTTTTACATTGCAAACCCATTTTAAATGGCCAACCCAACGGGTGCTTGGTATGGTTAATGAGAGCAGTACTCTTTGAAACCATCCCTACATGTTAAGAAGGTTAAAAAAGCCAAAAGACTGTGTCTTACCATGGCTGCCTGCAAGCTGAAATCTGTGGCCTGGCACTGCGTGAGTGATCTCTCACACCAAACCGGCAGGCCCTCAATATAAGAGGAAAAATGCGACCTTGTAACGAAAGCACATCTGCTGTGTAATGTGAACAGCAAAATGTAACGTGAAAGAGTGTACCCATTGTTCTCTAAAATGTATCTTTTTTAACCACCTCTCCCTTCTCATCCACCAGCTGCAAATCGTTCTCCTTCACAGAGGCTAGTGAATATTCGAAAACGGAAGCGAAGGACGCGTGATGAAATGTTTACAGAACTACAGACTGCCTCCCACGCTGACAGAGCACAGCAGAATGCGTGGAGGCAGTCAATGACTGATTATCGAAAAGCCCAATATGAACGAGAGGAGAGGTGGCGGGCTAAATCACGGGCTGAAGAGGAGAGGTTGCGTGCTGAAGCGCGGGAGGAACAGAGCAAGTTGCGGGCTGAAGATGAGAGGTGGCGTCAGCTTGCACACAGAAGGCAAGAGTCCATGCTCCGGTTGCTGGAGCATCAAACTGATATGCTCCAGCGTATGGTTGAGCTGCAGGAAAGGCAGCAGGAGCACAGACCGCCGCTACAGCTCCTGTGTAACCAACAGCCCTCCTCCCCAAGTCCCATTGCCTCCTCACCCAGACGCCCAAGAACACGGTGGGGGGGCCTCCGGCCACCCAGTCACTCCAGCCCAGATGATTTCCCGAGCAATAAGTGTTAAAGTTTTAAAGTTTTAAACTGCAGTGTGTCCTTTTCCTTCCCTCCTCCCCCACCCATCCCGGGCTACCTTGGCAATTATCCCCCTAGTTGTGTGATGAATTAATAAAGAATGCATGAATGTGAAGTAACAATGACTTTATTGCCTCTGCAAATGGTGCTCGAAGGGGGGAGAGTAGTAGGGGAGGGTGAGGTGGTTGGTTTACAGGGAACTAGAGTTAACCGGGTGGGGGGGTGTAGGGGCGGAGGGTTCATCAAGGAGAAACAAACAGAAGTTTCACTCCGTAGCCTGGCCAGTCACAAAACTCGTTTTCAAAGCTTCTCTGATGCGCACCGCGCCCTGCTGTGCTCCTCTAACCGCCCTGGTGTCTGGCTGCGCGTAATCAGCGGCCAGGCAATTTGCCTCAATCTCCCACCCTGCCATAAATGTCTCCCCCTTACTCTCACAGATATTGTGGAGCGCACAGCAAGCAGCAATAACAATGGGGATATTCTTTTTGCTAAGGTCTGAGTGAGTCAGTAAGCTGCGCCAGCGCGCTTTTAAACGCCCAAATGCACATTCCACCACCATTCGGCACTTGCTCAGCCTGTAGTTGAACAGGTCCTGACTCCTGTCCAGGCTGCCTGTGTACGGCTTCATGAGCCATGGCATTAAGGGGTAGGCTGGGTCCCCAAGGATCACGATAGGCATTTCAACATGCCCAACGGTTATTTTCTGGTCCGGGAAGAAAGTCCCTTCCTCCAGCTTTTGAAACAGAACAGAGTGCCTGAAGACGCGAGCATCATGTACCCTTCCCGGCCAGCCCACGTTGATGTCGGTGAAACGTCCCTTGTGATCCACCAGAGCTTGCAGCAGCATTGAAAAGTACCCCTTGCGGTTTATGTACTCGGTGGCTTGGTGCTCCGGTGCCAAGATAGGGATATGGGTTCCGTCTATCGCCCCACCACAGTTTGGGAATCCCATTGCAGCAAAGCCATCCACTATGGCCTGCACGTTTCCCAGAGTCACTACCCTTGATATCACCAGGTCTCTCATTGCCCTGGCAACTTGGATCACAGCAGCCCCCACAGTAGATTTGCCCACTCCAAATTGATTCCCGACTGACCGGTAGCTGTCTGGCGTTGCAAGCTTCCACAGGGCTATCGCCACTTGCTTCTCAACTGTGAGGGCTGCTCTCATCCTGGTATTCTGGCGCTTCAGGGCAGGGGAAAGCAAGTCACAAAGTTCCATGAAAGTGCCCTTACGCATGCGAAAGTTTCGCAGCCACTGGGAATCGTCCCACACCTGCAGCACGATGCGGTCCCACCAGTCCGTGCTTGTTTCCCGGGCCCAGAATCGGCGTTCCACGGCATGAACCTGCCCCATTAACACCATGATTTCCACATTGCTGGGGCCTGTGCCTTGTGAGAGGTCTAGGTCCATGTCCATTTCCTCATCACTCTCGTCGCCGCGCTGCAATCGCCTCCTCCTCGGCTGGTCCTGGTTTTGCTTTGGCATGTCCTGGCTCTGCATATACTCCAGGACAATGCGCGTGGTGTTCATAGTGCTCATAATTGCCGCGGTGATCTGAGCGGGCTCCATGATCCCAGTGCTAGCTATGGCGTCTGGTCTGAAAAAAAGCGCGAAAGTAGTATCTGACGGACCAGGGGAGGGAGGGAGGAAGGAAGGGAGGGGCGAGTGACGACATGGCGTACAGGTACAGGGGATTAAAATCAAGAAAGGTGGCTTTGCATCAGGGAGAAACACAAACAACTGTCACACAGAATGGCCCCCTCCCCCAAAGATTGAACGCAAAAGCCTGGGTTTAGCAGGAGGGAGGGGGGAAGCAAATGAATACAGAATAAATCTATTTTTTACATCTTAAGACGACGGTGCAGCATGACTGATAGCCCTCGGCATTTTCTGGGTGCTTGGCAGCAAATACTGGGCGCTTGGCAGTTAGCCTTCAGGTCTATTGCACAATCTGATACCCACTGCAGTATGACAACGATGGATACCAGTCGTAATATACTATCTACTGCCCAAAAGGCAAGGGGTTGCTGCTGTGTAGCAATCTAGCCCCACGTCTGCCAGCCCCATGTCTGCCAGCACCCAGATTGCCCTCGGCCTCTTCTGGGTGCTTAGCAGAAAATACTGGGCACTTGGCAGAAAATAGCATACTACGACTCAGCTAACGTGCGATGAGCCAACAGGGCGCATGGCAGAAAATGGCATACTACGACTGATAACCATCATTGTCTGCCCAGGTGCCCATGATCGACAGCCACTGCAGTACGATGATGATGGATACCAATCGTAATATACCATCTTCTACCAAAAGGCAAGGGGGCTGGTGCAATGCAGCCCCACAGCTGCCCGCACCCAGATCGCCGATGAAGGCTACCAGTCATGCTGCACCGTCTACCGCCAAAAGGCAGTTAGTTGCTGTTGCTGTGTAGCAATGCAGTCCCACGTCTGCCGGCACCCAGATGACATATGGTGACGGTGAGCTGAGCTGAGCGGACTCCATGCTTGCCGTGGTATGTTGTCCGCACAGGTAACCCAGGTAAAAAGGCGCGAATCTATTGTCTGCCGTTGCTGTGACGGAGGGGGAGGGGCCTGAGACATGTACCCAGAACCCCCCGCGGCACTGTTTTGCATCATCCGGGCATTGGGATCTCAACCCAGAATTCCAATGGGCGGCGGAGACTGCGGGAACTGTGGGATAGCTACCCATAGTGCAATGCGTCGGAAGTCGACGCTAGCCTCGGTACTGTGGACGCGGTCCGCCGAACTAATGCACTTAGAGCATTTTATGTGGGGACACACACAATCGGCTGTATACAACCGATTTCCACAAAACCGGCTTCTATAAATTCGACCTAATTTCGTAGTGTAGACATACCCTAAGAGGAACAGGGTGGTGTTGGGAGCTGAATAGTTACATGGCTATGTATTGTGTTTTGATGCTTTTTAATCCCTCAGACTACTCCCCCCACCTCCACCCCCACCCGCCCATATTTTATTTTCTGCAAAACTATAAATCAGTGTGCAGTGCAGGAACAGAGTTTAAATACTGAAATAGTAGGGACACACAACCTCCCGCTGGCCAAGGACAGTCTGTAAAGCTTTCTTTGTCTTTAATGTTTAATCATGTAATAACCACATAAGTAACTTTGCTGCTGTACTCTAGAATTTTAACAATTTAACACACTGAGGGCCAAATTCACCACCAGTGTGAATAGAGGGACTCCATTGATTTGAGTACAATTATATCTGTTTACACCATTGGTAGGTATGGCACCCAATGTTAGTGCACAACATTTTCAGTGTGTTTTCTTTGAGGTACTGAATGACAGAACAAATCAGAAGAAAAGTTGTTCAGAAACATGGTGTCTGATGGTTCTCATTTTGCCTTGACTGTGATGTCTTCCCAGGGAGCTTATGATCACATTCTTCTGGATATACCTGTCACTCGAGAACAGACAAATCACTATCGGGCTGTGGCTGAAACTGCCCGTAGTGAACTTGCAGCACTTCTGGTAAAGTATGAATATGCCCAGTCAGAGGTAAGTCTTAAAGAATCATCCTCCCTCCCTTCCCCCCAAAAGAACCCCCTAAAAGTTCTTTTTCTGTTAATGTGAGCTATGCACACATTGCAGAGAAAGTAATCCACTAAATCTCCTTACAGGGAATGTAAAATGTATCTTTGTTTTATTAATTGTGGGATTTTGTTTTTGTTTTCAGATTACATTTATTCAGATTTGCCACAAGTTTTTTTTTCTGCTTATATCAGTTGCCAGTCTTTGTGCCATTATCTTGTTCGTTAATTGAAGTTGGCACCAGGATGATTTTCTTATTGTGTTTGGATGTAAAATACAGTATTTCATAATTCTAACTAAAGTTAATATTTCAACACTGTGGTTATCTGAGTGATTTTAACATATGTTGATTCCAGGGCTCCCATATTTTCCCACTTGTTAACATGCTCATTTTTTATTTCCATTACTGAATGAAGCTTAGTTGATCCAGTCGTGCAATACAGTCATGCAGAAAGGTGGTTTTTCTATGCTGATAGAAATGAATGATAGCGTCCTATACTCATAGCACTCTTCATCCAGGTGGCATCTAAAGCATTTAATAAATGTTACAAGAGCATGTTCTCTTTCTCCCCTTCTCTCTCTCTGTGTAAAATGCTTAGGATCCACCTGTATGGTGCATCAAAATCAAAATTCACTTTGCCCATGAACGAAATACAACTAAATTTGTTGTGAAATCAAGCAACTCTTAAATAGTTCACAGCAATGATAAGCAACAGTTTAGAACAATAAATTATTAATACTATATCCAAGTGAAACAGGGGTGAATGTAGATCAGTAGAATGTAATTATCTGAGCTGGAATTTGGCCAGTTAATCCTCATATTGTAGCAAAAAGTGCCTACCGATCTTTAATTAATGTATGTGGTCAGTAACTTGGCTTTACATTTCATCAGAAAGAATTAAAGAAGATGAGATTCTTGTTGATCCTTTACTTGACTCCAACTCTTGAATGAAGGGAGTAAATACTTTAATAATCTCTTTACTTACTGTCATGGTGACAGACCACTTTATAGAATTTTTTTCACTGCTGTTTTTGGAAAAGGCAGAAAGGGAGTAAAGAAAGCCAGCTTCACTTTCATCCAGAATACTCAAATTCTTGTTAAATTCATGTTGTTGTTTGTAACATCTACATGTCCCAGCTGAATTCAGAGCCCCCTTGTGCTTGGTGCTGTACAGACTCATAATAAGGGACAGTGAATGGCATACAGTCTAAATTGACAAGAGAGAAAAAGGAAGTGTTGTTATCCCATGTCTACATGGGGAATTAAAGCACAGAGAGATTAGGTATCTTGTCTGTGGTCACGCAGGATATCTTTGGCAAAGCCAGGAATTAAACTCTGATCTCCTGAGTTCCAGTCCAGTGCCTTAATCACAAATCCATCCTTCTTGCATTAAAAGAGCACTCACATAGCTTGTTAATCTTAGTTTTAGTTTTCATGTGGTAAGAGCTAACTGCCACATATTGCATATTTTTCATTATAATGGAGCTGGAAGCAACACCTAAGTGTTGCTTAGCACTTTCTATTGTAAATCCCTGTTTTTAGTTGTTTATAACTTTGACCATTTAGGCTGAAATTTTACATGCCAGGTCTGCCTCAGGCTGAATGTTGCTGGGAAATTTTCAGCAAAAATGGATCAACTCTTTCTGAGAACGAGGCTAGGGAATATACATTATTTTGCCAGTGTTTTTTAAAAAAAAGTTCGAACTGTTTGTTGAGAAGCTCTAGCACTTTCATACTTTGGAACAGGGACTTGAAATTAGGCAAGGGGTGCCACAAGGGGATCAGAGAGGTGCCTTTTGCTGTTCCTATGGAAATCTACCTAATCTACTTGACTGAATTATAAGCCTCTGAAAATCACTGTTTGCACATGCTGTGTAGAGGTTTGTTAGCAAAATTCTCCAAACATTCTGTCTTCACTGAACATTCTGCAGCTCTTTAGAGCCACAGCCACAGTGAGCATGCTTCATTCCCATAGAGCAGGGGTAGTCAATTATTTTTTGTCAAGGTCCAAGTTTCTTGGTCAAGGTATAGTCAAGGTCCAGACTCTGGAGGAAATAATTTTTTAAAAAAGTATGATGATAAGTAAATAAAGAGATTTTGGGGTCTGTTCAAAAGCATCTGGCAGTCCGGATTTGGCCTGTGGTCTGCCTATTGATTACCCCTGCCATAGAGCTTAGTGAGTACGCTCCAGCCCAGGACTGAGCAGGACTTTTCTTGCAATTACTCTTTCCATTAGCGAGAGGCCACTGTGGCACCAGACACCAGAACTGAGAACAGGGAGGAAGAGATCTTGTGAAAAAATATGTGATCACAATTAAAGACTGTATCATTAAGGTTTCACAGGAAACCTTAATTCTGGTATTTCCTAACTTTTGTATGTGTGATTTTTACAAACCTTAATGTTGTTTCAACCTAATATAAAACTCCATTTAAAATAATTTAAAAAACGGTGGTTCTTTTTGTTTCTGCTCTGTTTTTTTAAATACCTTTATAGATATTTAAAAATAACATTTTTCTTCTTACTAACTTTGCCCATTTTATTCGGCTAATACATATTTTTGCTATTGTTTCGAATGGCACTGAAAGCAATGTGGCTATTTTTGTTTACTTCATATTGAAGCTGGAGTTTACATACTGCTTTTGGGGAGTATTGAAAAAATGGTAGCTATTGTCACTTTTTTCCCCCCACTGAATCCGTTGGTAATAGAGTAGAAGAATAAGATACTTTGATTCCAAAAGGTATTTCCTGCCAGATTTAAAAAAAATAAACAATTTAATAATAATTAAATTAAATAATAATTTAAGACAGTTCAAATACGTAGTCTATATTGAATTTTTCTTACAATTATTTGTTTTTTCTCTCTTCCTCTCCTCTGTCTATAGCTTCTAGATCTCAGATCCAAAATAGTCTCTAAAGAAGTCTCATTGCAAGAGCTGAAGTCTGAAGTGGAAAGCTACAAGGAAAACAATGCTAGACAATCCTCTCTACTCCTCTCTTTGCAAAATCGAGTTCAGGAGGTGGAGGAGGAATCAGATGTGCTTGCCACTTCCAAAAAACAGACAGACCTAACAGCACATGTTTTGCTCCAGGAGAATTGGGAGTTGAAGGAGAAGATCCATAACCAAGAAGCCAAACTGAAGTAAGAGATTCAATCAAGCTTGGTATAATTTTGGGTTGAGATGTCACTGTACTGTAGTTGCCAACATAGAAAACTACCTTTGTAGTTAAATTTCAGTGCAGAAACAGATTTGTATTGAGCTGTATATTATTGCCCCTTTGGCCTGGGCAGTTAGCCAGTATTCAGGGCCTTGCAGAGTTGTGCCCTTTAGGAAGAGAACTTGATATGAGTCAGGTATATTCTTTGTTGTAATCTTGTTTATTTACAAATAATGTACACAAAGCCCAGTTTCCCTGAACGTAGTAGAAACAAAGAGCAGGCACACTTTCTTAGCTTAGATACCCTTAAGTGTGCCACTCCAGCGAGCTCTGTGCATGACAATGTCTTTTTCTGCTTCCTCTTAGGGTCACATTCACCCCGCCTTCTACAGGCTTTCTCTGCTTCTACCACACACAGGCTGAAAAACCAATCTCTTAGCCCCTGTGTTTTCAATCAGGGAAATCCCTGATAGTCTGGGCCATCCTCCATTGTTTATAGCTGTTTGTATTAAATAAAGAGGCTAAATTATTTATTCCATTGAGTCTGAAAGAATGCTTGATGCACTTATTGACTGTAACTAGGTCTGTGCTTTTTGGAACCAAAGACTTGTCTGATGGCAGTCAGTAGCACCTGTCAGAAAAACAATATGTTTTTACAGAGGTTATAAATAAACTCTGCAGGAGGGAGGTTTACTCCAGTGAAGCGTTTAATCAGTTGCAGCTGCAAATCTATAGGACTTTCCTATAAGTTTCACCAGCAGTCATTGAGTCTGTAATCTCCCCAGTCTGAATTTATAAGGGTTTAGAAGATCCACTAGCTTTACCAGGGGAGTTTGTGAGCATTTCCAGCCTAATAGCTTGGATTTTCCCTGAAAGAAAAAGCAGGGAAGTGAAAATACAAAAATTTGTGCTTAAGATTGAGATTACACATTGAAATGCTCAATAGTCATGAAACCAGAAAAGTAAAGTTTTTATAATATGGAAAATTCAGTTATGCTATACATGCATTGTAATTTCAATTTGTGTATTTGTTTTTAAATACATACATGAATATATGACTTTTTATGTAAGTATACACTAGAAAATAGGCAGTTTGTACAACGTGGCTCAACTTACTGTGAAAATTTTTCATTTCTGTGTATTTGAGCTTTCATATTTGTAACTAATAATGTTACATTAATATAACCTTTTGTATTTTTCTCTATTACATACACCATTCTGGATAATGCAGTATCAAGGTGCTCAGATATTGTGGTATGTTTGTAGTTATAGTTATGCCAAGAGAGAGGAAGAGAACCATTGCTGGTGATAGCTATTAGGGTAGGAAGAAAGCTTACATACAGTATCTTCAAGCATGTGCAGTTCTGATATGCCTTTTGTTAGATTTTCCAATCCATTGATTTTTTCCCCTCCCACTATTCATTGGGCAATGGTTTTTTGTCATATACAACTTTACATTGTAAAAGATGCAATGTCCTGTGCTGACTTTATCAATTTAACAGTGTTGGAGAATAACAGTTCTTTTTTGACACCCCAATAGAGATTTTAAAAGGTTTTTTACCTTTATTGTGGTGCCATGGGGTTTGAAGGGGAACGATTTGTAGCAGCTGCCGGTACCTTTGCGGGCGTTGCCATCCCGGACGAGCCCCCAAATTGTTGGAGAATAACAGAGTTTTTATTTTTTGTTTGGGTACAGCAAATTAGATATATATATTTTTTTTATTAATTGCATAGAGGGAGAGAGCTAAACAGGTTTTTTAACAGGTAAACAATTACAGCAAGCATTTATATTTTTTGTTACAGACAATAATGAGCAACAGCTGCATTTTGTTTATATATAGGTTATTTTGATATTTTGTTTTGCTTACTAATGTAGACTTTTAGTCTACATTCCATATTATTTACACATTATTTACACAAGGTTGCAACAACTTTTTACACAGTTTTTTAAAATTTGCTTTACATATTTTTTGCTTTTACAATTTTTGCGTTATTAGGGTTACAGCTAGCCTAATTTTTGCTAACAAACTGTTATGCATTGCATTTTTTTTTGTTAGTTTTTTTTGCTTTTACAACAGTCTTCAGGACTGTGTGCATGCCAAACAAAAGTGTATACACTGTTAGATCAGAATACACATACAGGTTAGTTTTGCTAGGTCGGTCTTGTGGCTTCAGACACATCAGAGGTGCAAGTATTTCTGCAGAAATTCACTTGATCAAATGTACTCTGGCTTTAAAAAAAAATAGGTTAATGCTATGTGCTGTTGCTGTAACTTAAAGAAATTTATTTTCATTAACTTTCAAGATAATTCCTGGTTGGCGTATCTTCAAATGAGACAATAGTCATAGAGAACATATTGTACACACATGCTGTACATGGGGGTAACTTGCTGTTATATTGGGGAAAAAATTGATGAATAAGACAGGATAAATTTGGTGGTATGTCATGTAACCAGTCATTTTGGACATGTGTTTTTAGAGAAGTCTTTGAAATAGTTAACATTGAAGATGTGATGGCATTCCTTCCCATGAGGTTCCTTTGGCTATTTCACCCCCGACCAATGAGCCAAAGACACAGTAACACATGGGTACACCATCTGGTTTTCAGCAGTGCCTACACTCAATTCCCCTTTCCTAGGATTCTTCTCACAAGGATCTATAATATCAATAGGTCCTCATGCGCCTTTCTCTCAGTGTGATGGAAGAGGCCCCTCCTCGGTCCAGGGGAGAAGGCTTTTAGAGCAGCTGTTTTTTTATCCTGAAGAAAAAGGAAGGCTGGCAACCCATCCTGAACTTGCAGAACCTCACATTCATTCACAAGTTGAAGTTCAGGATGGTACCCTCTGACACTGATAATCCCAACTCTAGAGTCTGGAGACTGGTTCAAATCTCTTGTGCTGCAGGATGAGTACTTCCACATCTCCATCATTTTGCCTACAAGAAGTACCTATGATTTACGGTTGGCAAGGACCACTATCAATATTGAACTCTGCCTTTTGAACTCTCCACAGTATTGAGGAGATCTAGCAAGGTGCTATCAGTAGGGGCAGCTTACCTGAGAAGATTTAACATCAATAAATAATCTTACCTGGATGATTGGTTTATATGGGGGACCGCTCCTCAACAGGTCTCTGAAGCTATCCAAAATGCACTCAACCTCTTTCAGAGGTCAGGCTTGAAAGTCAAGAAATGGAAATAGACAGTAATCCCAGATCAGAGGATTGAATTCATTGGTGTGATCTTAGACGCCTCCACATCCAGGGCCTACATGCCTCAAGATGTATTTGAGAACCTGTCCATTCTAACTCTCAGTTGGAGGGAAATCCATGTACCAATGGAAGGTTGTGCCTTGCCCTTCTAGATCATATGGCTTCTTGCACCTTTTTGATACCGCATGCCAGACTTCACCTCCACTGCTTGCAGGATTAGTAGAAGCTGTTTTACACACCCTCCAAACACTGTCTGGATGCCTCTCATTAACTCACCCATGGTCCTGTCTTCACTGAAATAGTGGGGAAAAAGAGTGCTTGCAGAGAGGTCGCCTTCTGGATGCTCCTGCCATTGAAGACCATAGTCACAGACACATCCTTGCTACAGTGGGGTGCCCACATGGACACATTAAAGACACAGGGTTTATGGTCCCCAAGGGAGAAGAGAACGTACATCAATCTCCTAAAACTCAAAATCATACAGGAGGTCTGTGAGTCCTTTCTCCACCTAACAGAAGGGCAGTCCATATAAATCATGATCAACAACACGACCACCATGTTTTATATCAACAAACAAGGTGGAGACAGGCCTTCCCCGCTCTGCCAGGAAGCCATTACACTTTGGAACTGGTGCATCAAACATACAGTTATTGCTGGTGTGGAGGTACACTTACCTGGACTGCAGAATATGCTTGTGGGCAATCTCAACAGATACTTCCTCCCAGATTGTGAATGGGAGATCAAAGACAAGATTCTGGTGGACATCTTCATGGACTGGGGCAATCCCAAAATGGACCTGTTTGCCACTCAATACAACAAGTGCCTGAGATTCTGCTCAAGGGGTGGAATGAGACTGGAATCCATCACAGATGCCTTTGTGTTACTGTGGACAGGAGACCTGATATATGCTTCCCCCGGCCCCTCTTATTGCCATAGTACTTTGCAAACTGAAACAGGTCTTGGCCAAGTTAATTCTCACAGCTCCAGTGTGGCCCTGACAGTTCTAGTTCATAGACGTACTGAGCCTTTTTTCTGCTCCCAGACCTGCTGTCTCAGAACAAGTGATAGACCCAACACCTGACTCTTGCATCCTTGCAGCTCACAGCAAGGGTGGCTGTTGTCAATAGAGCAGGCCTGCACCTCTCTAGTTAGAGAAGTTCTAATAAGCAGCAGAAAAGAATCAACAAGAAAAACCTACCTGCCAAAATGGATGAAGTTTTTCACTGGTGCCACCAAAAATCAGTGGTACCACATCATTCCTTGATCCCTCAAATCCTCAACTACTTACCCAAACTAAAATGCAAGAACCCGTCCCTCAGTTCAGTCAGGCATCACCTACTGGTCATCTCAGCTCAACTTCCACCAGTGGAGGACCATACCATTTTTTCCTCAATCTGTTAGTAATTAGGCTCCTGAAGGCCCTAATTAAGGTATTCCCACCAATCAAGGAACCTGGATCCTCATGGATCTTAAAAGTGGTACTCTCAGCCTTCAGGGACCTACTCTTCAAACCTATGGCCTCTTCTTCTTTTCTACACCTTTCTATGAAAATTGCATTTTTAATCACTATAACTTCTGCCAGCCCAGTACAGGAGATTCAGGCACTGATGACTGACCCACCCTATATAGTGCTCCACCCAGACAAGGTGGAGCATACACCCTAAATTTCTCCCCAGAATAGTGAGAGACTTCCACTAGAACCAAAAAATACACTTACCAGTATTTCCCCCAAAACCTCATGCATCCAAATCTGGGGTGATGTTGCACACTCTAGACCAGTGGTTCTCAGCCTTTTTGGGTTCAGCCCCCATTTGTAAACTTTGATGGCTTCTTGTGACTAGTAAATAGCTTTAGTGCAAAAAAAAATCTGGTTTTGTAAATATATTGTGGGTAAGAAATACAATATACACATTAATGTAGTAAATACTAAATAATTACACCTGGCATTCCATAGTGGCAACTCGTGTGGCTCCTATTTCATGGGACTGGGTGAGCTCGGCTCCTCACTCCAGGCAGTGTGACCTTTGAGGTTGCAGCACTGCTCAGATTTAGCCTGTGGGCTTGCTAGTCCAAATTTGGGAGAGTGATGTAGCGACTTTGTGCAGAGGGTCACAGCACCACTCACTGAAATTTGTCCTGGAGGAGCAGCTGGACCAAACCTGAACAGCACTGCAATCCTGTGCATCAGCTAAGAACTCCTGGAGCAGGGAGTTGAGCGCAGCCAGTCTTGCAGGACCACTGCAGGGTGAAACCGCCCAGGGCCTTCCTTCCCCCCCGGGGTAGGACCTGACACTCTCCTCTCCGGGCTTCCTATGTGAATGTGTGCCACATTCTGGCACCCTAGTTCTGGGTCACAACCCAGGGATTGAAAAACCCTGCTCTACACGTCAGGAGAGCACTGGCCTACTATTTAAACAGAAGTATTTAGAAAATCACTAAGACTTTATGTTAACCTCCATCACAGAGAGGTCAAAAGGTTCTGCAAGTTCATCCCAGATACCATAAAACTGAATTTCTTATGGTATTAAAACATGCCGCGAAGTGGCCATGGTAGATCCACCATCCATCAGGGCTCACTCCACTAGAGTGCAAGTTGTACCAGCAGCATCACCGTGAAGTCTACCATTATCAAACGCAGTAGAACCTCAGCGTTCCGAACATCAGAGTTATGGACTGACCAGTCAACCACACACCTCGTTTGGAACCAGAAGTGTGCGGGCAGCAGCAGAGACAAATAAAAAAAAGCAAATACAGTACAGTGCTGTGTTAAACGTAAACTACTTCAAAAAAAAAAAAAAAAAGGAAAAGAAAAGGGAAAGCTTAAAATGTTTTTTGACAAGGTAAGGAACCTGTTTCTGTGCTTGTTTTCATTTTAATTAAGATGGTTAAAAGCAGCATTTTCCTTCTGCATAGTAAAGTTTCAAAGCTACATTAAATCAATGTTCAGTTGTAAACTTGAAAGAACAACCATAATGTGTTTTTCAGAGTTATGAACAACCTCCATTCCCGAGGTTTATAACTCTGAGGTTCTACTTAGGGTGACCAGATAGCAAGTGTGAAAAATTGGGACGGGATGGAGGGGTAATAGACGCATATATAAGACAAAGTCCAGAGTATCGGGACTGTCCCTATAAAATCAGGACATCTGGTCACCCTAGTTCTACTGCATTTGTAAAGCAGCCACTTGGGCATCAATGTACACATTCCCAAGACACTACATCCTGACTGAGGCCTCCAGGCCCAAAGAGTAAAGCAGTTCTTCACTCTCTGTTTAAATAATTACACTTAGTTCCCACCTCCTTAGCACAGTTACTGCTTGGGAGTCACCAGCAGTGGTATATGGATATGGACAATCACCTGAAGGAGAATGGGAAGTTACTTACTGAAGGAGAATGGGAAGTTCTTTGAGATGTATTGTCCATATGCACATTCCCACCCTTCCATCCCCTCTACTGTGGAGTCCCTATTTGGGGGTTCTGCGGTGAGAAGGAACCAAGTGGTAGCTGGTGTGTGAGGTCTCAGGAGCATGAAGGCTCCGGGGTGCATGCGTGTTGTACGAGTACTGCTGGACCAAAAGACTCCAGTCTCAGGTTCATGAGTTGTATGTGCACCATCAGTGGAATGTGATTATGGACCACACATCTTGAAGAAGTCCAGTTACTTTAACTGAAAAGTAACTTCCCCTTCTGTGCAGAATTGAAGGCAAAAGTCTCTGGCTTTATGTGAATTTTCTGTTCTCTTGGGGCTTTGAGTAAAGGTTGTCCATCAGAAATTAACTCTTTGGTTGAAATTTTTTTTTAAAGTGTCCTCTTAAATATGCATAATTGGTGATGTGGAACCAGTAGTTCATCCAGTGTGTTTAAAAACATAGTAATTGTTTTATTAATTTCAATTACAAAAATTATGCTATTTATTAAAATACAGAACATGATTTTAATACATGATATTTTTCCAACGGTGTGTACTGGGGAGTGCTTCTGGAGTTTCCTTCCTTTCCAACCCATGCTTTACTCCTCAATAGGACACCTACCAAACAAACCACATCATAGAATCATCTTGCTGGCATGGACTGAAGAGAGATCTTCAGAGCCCATCATCAGAGGGGCATCATTTGATAAGGCTGTGAGGCGCTTGCTTTCTTAGGGGCAGAATGTGCTGCATCTAACAGTGCTCCCTGTCCCTGTTGGCCCATAGTATATGCATTAAACCACATTTAACTTGAAGGTGAAGGTTGTGCTAGAATAGGTAGGCCCAAGCAAGGAGCTTGAGATAATTTTGCCTTTTGCTTTAGAAAATCCTGTTTCTAAATATTCCTCCTGATGTGTGTTTGTTTTGGCTGATTAGCAAATATTTGAATGAGTGTGAAGAAAGCAAGAATCAAGCTTCTAAGATCAGCTGGAAGCATGGTGAATTCTTAGCACAGCTTTCTGGATTCCTGGACGTAGACATCAGAGGAAAAGAGGAACCACACAAACATTTAATTTCAAAGGTGTTTATGTGCAGTTATTTTTGCCTACATACTGAAGAGACTTGTTAAATATTTAACTGCATTGTATTGCTCTAATAGATATTAATATAGAAGGGTGCACTGTCTTTGAAATATTTGGTTTGATGTAGAAAATTTAATACAGCAATTTTCTTTTATAATAGAAAAATAGAACACTTGTTTAAACAACTTAAATGTTAAAGGTCAGAATTTTGTTGTCAAATAAGGATATACAGAGCATATTACCATAAAAATAGTGTTTACAAATATTGGCCTAGTTTTCAGAGGTGCTGATCTTCCACAGCTCTCATTGAACTCAGGGAGGCCTTATGTATGTTCCTATAATATTAACTTACAATTATGATTGCTAAGTACAAATCAAGAAAATACATACAATTAAATGCTTGTCTAAAAATATTAAAAACTATAAAATTCCACTATGACAATTCTGGCACTACTCTTAACACTCATTTAATGCAGTCATGCCATTAAACAGAAACATTCTCAGTGACACACACTGAAACAACCTTAATTCTGAACCTGTACCAAAACACTCACAATTACTACAAGGTACAATTGAATCTTATTCATTCATTACGCATAGTTCTGAGAGAATGCTATACAAAATCTTTAATACCTTTCTCCTCCAGCATTTCCCAAAATTTTGAAAGCTGAGCTCCCATTCAGGAAAATGAAATCAATGGCACCCCCTACCCGCCTTTAATACATCTTTTGCACTCTCTGGCTAGTCTTTCACCTCTACTTCTCTTCTAACGGGCACACTGAAAGCAGTGTGTATTAGAACAGAGTATTTGTTCTGGATTTCCCCCCCCTTATCTATGTCTTTTCTCTCAGCAACGACTAGAGTTAAAGACAGAATAGGAGCACCTTCACCTTTAGTCATCATTCAAGTAGGACTCAAGGGGACATATAATCCTGTATTTTTCTGCTCTTTTTGAAATGTCATGAGATATTCCCCACCCCAGATTTGTAGGATTCCCACAATGGCAGTCAGGGCCAAGGGACAGAGCAGTGGCAAACCTGAGGCTGGGAGTAGCAGAGGAGTTTGTAGTCAGGTCCAGGCCAGTGTCAGAGTCTAAGGTTTCAAGGTTCGAGTCAAGTGGCAAAGTTCAAATCAAGCTGAGATCGAGCAGGAAAGGTCATGGCAGCTACAGAGCAGCCAGTTGCCTGGACGCTTCCTGGAATGCTCCTTGGGTTTATATAGGGCAGTGAGCCAATCAGGAGCCATGGGGCTGCTGTCTGTCAGACTCTTGAGGTGGAACTTCCCATGGTCTGTGTCCACAGTGGGTCATGGGAAATGGAGTGCAAGTTGGTTACAGCTGCTGCTGGGTGGCAGACTGGAGCTGCCAGCTACTTGGTAGTTTTACAGGCTTGGGTTCTAGACCTGTGGGGCTTTACACTTCTTGGAGTTACTGCAGCATTACCTCAACAGATCAAACGCATGCTTGGGGCTCGTCTTTCCCTGAATTCTGGCTGCTGCTCAAAAGAGCTCCCCAAATCCTTTTTGTTAGGAGATAGCCTTACTCTCTCATATGGTCAAGAAGAGTCTGCTGCCAAATCACATGGTTCCCTATGACTCAGAATATTTCAAATGTAAAATCACTTCTCAATGTCCTGTGCTGGTTTCCCATTCCAAAGGCTTGCTAGCCATAAATCTTATGGAAAAGCTGTCTGCTTCCCACATAAAGATAGTTGTATAATCTATTTTTTTTTCTGCCCTGCCTTATCAGTGTGGACATGCAGAAATGACAACAGCCCTCCAGATGATATTTGATCTAGTGCTGAGAATTTGTATGTGGATAACTAAACCAAATTAACATTTGCTATGCTAAGGCATACTTTTCTCATGGTGTATTATGGGCTCTTTCTACTTTGTTTATAAGGAAACATTGGAAATAAATAGCAGAACATAGTCATAGATCTGACCCTAAAGGTTTTACAAACAACATTTTTTATGATGATGAGGAACAGAAAATGCATTTAAATGAGTGAAGACAATTGTTAACAGGAAACAGTGTAAGAATTGTAGTAATATATACTATTTGAATGGTATGTCTGTCTAGGTCAATCAGATGCATAAAGAAAATACAATGCTAAAAGGGCAGATTGCTACTCTTGCAGAGGCTATCAATGTTCATGAGATAGAGTCAAAAGCTAGCAGAGAAACCATCATGAGGCTTGTTTCGGAAGTCAGCAAAGAGCAGAAAAAGGCCGTAGCCTACTCCCAAGACACGGACAAGCTTAGCAAGGTAAATTATTTTCTAGTGTGCATGTCTGTGTGTGTTAGAGATCTATTTCTAGAAATGAAAAATGCATTTTTCAGTAGAAGAACATGGTGTGAAATGAAAGTAAACGATGGTAAGATTTCAACACATGCTATTACCAACAAAATTTAGTTTGGAAAACTCTTATCAGGCTAGGGTGTTGGTTGGAGATATTTTTTTTGTGCTTAGTTTTAAAAAAAGTACTTTTCTGTTATCACCTTCAAGTTCATGAAGTCTCAAGAATATTAGGAGATTAAAATGCTTTTGTTAGAGAGCTCTGCTTTAGTGTTGATGTTTCCTATATGTCGATGAAGTGATGTTTTCACTCTCATTCAACAACTGTATCCCCGGTTATTGCCTTCTCAAAGTGGTAGCTGGGTGGATGTTGTGTAAGTCAGCATGAACATATAGAACTATTGATTTTACTCTGAGGTAGGAGTCTGATAGATGAGTAGAAATGTATGCTAAGAAATCCATATTTTATTCCTTGAAGTAAGCTTGAGGGAGTTAAAAAAACAAAACAAAAAAACAAATATTACAAGTATTCTTCCATAGAGAATCAGGAGTATCCGGAGATGCAATTGGAGCCAGATTTTTTTTTTTAAATTGCTGTAAAATTTGTTCTTCAGAAATAGAGAGAAATTCATTGAATAGTACTTAACAAAATGTTTTCCTAAAGATTCCATTGAAAGAACTGGTAGTAAAGTATCTTGTCTGTCAGATACCAGATTATTTGTATGGTATAATAAACTCATACTTCATAATCATAAATAGTCATTTGACTTGCACACTGAGAAATCCTGGCTAGCAGCATGACTCCACAATCCATGATTCAAAATCCACTGAAGTCAATTGGAGTTTTTCATTGAATTCAGTGGGCTTTGGATCCGGCTTGTACTATGAACAATTTTTTATGAATACACAGAATATGTGAGATATTGGCATTTTCTTGTCTGCAGTTCCAACATTTGCTATGATTGGCAAGATCATCCTAAAATTATAATTAAAAACGTGTTAAATATGTATATTGACCTGATAAACTATATCTATGAAGCTGTTCAGCATTTAATTTTAACATAGAATTTTACTACTCTTTTCAACTTGCATTTGTTTATTTTTTAAGATTTATGCATCAGCTGACTTGTAAATATGACTCTTAAAAAGAAAGTTTTTAAAAAATAAATGGTTTGCTATAACCCATGACACTTAAAATGAGAGAGAGGCACAATAATTATGTTCCTTTTGAATTATTTTATCCAATTTGTCATTTCAGTACTGTGGCCTTTTGAAGCAACTGTATTTGTTTGCAAATTAAAAAAAAATAAACTGAGATCATAACTGGTTAATGCTCTCACTTATGTTGACTAGCTGCTGTTGTGCTGCGACCTGTGAAAGGAAATCTACAGACTGATGAAGTAATATTATAATTGGAATAGACCTCCCTCCATTCTTTCCTATAATACCCATAATTTGATTCGCATAATTTCTCTGTTAAGAGGACCTCTTTAGAGTTGAAGAAGGGACATAAAATGAACTATGCCAAGATTTGGTTGACAGTTCTAAAATTAGTTTAGTAATGAGTAATGACAATATTCATCTAATTAATATGGTTTTGTTTCTTTGTTTATTCTTAAATGTATTTAACACAGGGATTATCACATTGCAACAAACCTGACCAATTAAGTCTGGTATCCTGCCTCCCACAGTATTTGAACCCTGATGCTTCTGGAGAAGGCAAATGACTCCCTGTAAATGTACCCACCTGGTTGTGTAAAGTTGTACCTTGTGGGAAGGGAAATTCCTTCCCATTCTTAGTTGTTAATCAAACAGTGCCCTGAAGTGTGAAGGATTATATTCCTTGCTACATTGTAATCCCAGCTAGTTTGACTGTGGAGTTTATTCTTATTCACATAAATCTCTAATCCTTTTAAAAATCTTATTAAACTGTTTGTCTCATTAATATCCTGGGGCAAAGAGTTTCACAGGCTGATTAAATGAAGCAGAACCATGTTTTTGGTTTTGTATGTGTTAAAATGTTCTCTTTCATTGAATGGCTTCTTGTTCTTATTTCACAGCACAGTGTATGCAGCATGGTCCAACTGGCCGCCTCTATACCATTCATTATTTTATATACCCCTGACACATCTACTGCCTCTATCTCTTTCTCAAACTGATGACTGGATCATCACAAAGAAGAGAAAATTTACTTGGCAAGTGCTGTGAGTTTACACAAGACGAGGCAAGGGTCATGGCTCTACAACAGTGAGATCCAATGAGATCCATGAGAATATTCCCAGGATCTTGGAGTATTCACAGAGCAGCAGCCCCTATGCATTATTCCCCAGGCTCAAGCATCTCATGGCAACATAGCTCCTTTGGGATCTTTGCTATCATTGTCTGTGTATTCCTGCTGTGTACACTCCTTTTAAGGGACATAGAAGGACTATGCAAGAATTAACTTCTTCAGAAATTTCTAAAGATGATTCTACAGGGATGCTAGATAGGGCTGCTGTCCTGACTCACCTACCCTGCCATGTCCCCTAAATTTGCAGAGTCCAGACTTATTGGCATATGTGCAACATGCCCAGCCACTTAATGGTGCCATCATCAGCCAGGTGGAGAGCCGTTAGCCTGCCGTCGAAATAAGTCAGTGGGCACTCGACAATGATATGTGACACAGTCTGAAGTTGACCATAGCTGCATCACTAGCAAAATCCCATTTAAAGAGATTGGCTGCACAGTGCCCTGTCCTCTTTGAAACTGGGTCAGAGATGAACACAGGTGCCTTAGCAGATCAAAACCTGATGGACAGGTTGCATCAGTGATGAGAGAGTGATTAATGATGTCCTCATTGACCACTCATGCCAAGCAGATTCCACCGTCATGTCCTGTGGTGGCATAAATGAACATAAAGAGAATTGTGACAGGCTAGACTAGGCCTAGAGGCCCCCTTCTGGAGGCCTCAGAATCCTACCACACCCCGTTCCAGAGAGGAGCAGAAGAGAAGTCCTCCAAGTGGCCTAGAGTGGCTGCAAGGGAAGCAGCCAATCAGAGGGACTGCAGGAGCAGGCAATCGGGGGCCAGGAGGGCCATATAAAAAGGAGCAGCAGAGACACTTCTCTGTCAGTTGCTGCCTGGAGCTGGAAGAGAGGATCGTGTTCCTGGCTGGCTGAAAGAGCAGCATGGAAATCTCAGTGTGGGCAGGGACCTGGAGAGCTAAGAAGGAGCTCCTGACTGGCTGAGGGGACTGAGCAAGAACTCAGCCCAGAGAGGGCTGCAGGAAGATAATGTCTTAAGGGAGGAAGCCCTGGAGGTATGGCCCCAGGCCAGGGCTGGGAGAAGGTAAAGACTGTATATCAAAAGGGGTCTGTTCCACCGACAGACAGTGTGTGTGATGTGGCTGGAGGGCTGAGTCACTGAAGACTTGCCAAAGAAACCATCAACCATGTGAGGTGCTGATGAAAGGTGGGTGCCAACCCCATTACAGGCATCTAGAAGACAGGTGAGCTGCTGGGTGGTCAAAGAGGTCTGAGTACAGCGGCAGGTCGCTATTCTCATGGATCTTTGCTAGCAGCATGAAAGAGACCTTTTCATGGCAAATATGGGGTGGTGCTATGTTAAGTATTGGTAGCCATGGCAACAGAGTCCTGCTAACAATATACATAGCTTTGTTAAGCTCTACGTCAATCAACTTCGCGTGAGATGAGCGACACCAGATAGGAGCACAGTACTCTGCTGTTGAATAGCAGAGGGAAAGGGCTGATGATCTAAGCTTCCGGGCGCTCGCATTCCAGGTTGAACTGTCCAATTTTCTGAGCAGGTTGTTCTGAGTGCTGACTTTGACTGCCGTCTTCCTCAATGGTTGCGATACGTTAATGATCTATCCAATGTCACACTGAGGTAAACTGGGTTTGGATCATGCCGCAGGCATTGGCCATTGAGGAAAATGTTTAACTTCTGGTTTGCATTTGCATTATTCAGATGGAATACACTAGAAACAGTCTTAGAAAAGCTCGGCTGCAGGTGCCATTGACTACAATACTCTGCCATGAGATTCACATCTTCATTCAAGGTCTTGTCAATTTTTGAGAAGGACAGCTTGGTGGCTACAGCAGATGTCGTCGGCATAGATGAACTTGCACGAGAGCATAGCTGGCAGGTTGTTGATGTACACAGTGAACAGCATCGGTGAAAGAACTGAGCTTTGAGGGAGGCCATTGATTTGACACTTCCAAGAATTACAGCAGTTGCCCAGGTGTACTGTAAACTGCCTGTGTTGGAGAAAGAGAGCTCTATTACTTCGAACACCCAATGCGGGTAATTTGAGAGAGTTTAAACAAAAGGTCTCTGTGCCAAATTGTGTCATAGGCGGCAGTCAAATCCAAGAAGATGGATCCTGTTTTTAGATTTTGTCAAAAACCGTTTTCGATAAAGGTGGTCAAGGCCAGGACTTGATCACAGGTGCTGTGTCCTTTCCCAGACTGAGCAATATTCACACACACACGGGCAACTGTAGGCTCAAGGGGAAAGGTGGCTAGTTTGATACTGACATTCCTCACCTCCTTTGGACAACGTGATGTTGCCCTACATTGTCCCAGTTTTAAAATTTCTCCTTCTTTGAAAGTCTCCCCATCATGCTTCTAATCTGATTTATTCTTCATCTCTCCACCTCTCTCTCTCTCTCTCTCTCTCATCTGTGCCTTCTTTGAGATGAGGCAACCAATCAATATTTGAATATTTGCACTTTCCTTATATGCTATTATAAACTTTTTTTCTCATTTAGCCACGCCCCTATTTTGTGTGGAAATAATTCTGGTATGCTTGTCACTTTTTGTTTTTTGTTTTTTAAAACCCCTGGGGCCCTATTATTCAGATATCTTCATGGAGTGTGCTGAGATGTTGCCTTGATCTTTTCCTATATCACTAATTTAGCCCCCATCAGTATATGCAAGTAGTTTTAAATTTTACACCATTTCTTCTAGTGTGCATTACCAGCACTTGTCTGTGTTAAATTTCATCCACCATTGAGTTTCCCAGTCACCGTTTTTTCTTAATGAAAGTCATCACAATCTAAGCAATGTATTTATAGATCTAACTAATTTTGTGTCATCTTCAAATCTTACTTCCCCATTCACTATACCATGAAGGTAGTTGATACTAAATGCATGTGGGAGTCCTATTTGCCTCACTCGGTATTCTGTCTGTGAAGGACTTGCAAGATTGGGCCCATAATGAACAACTTTGGCCCTAATGCTACTAGTTCCTGCACCTCTCTGCTACTCACCTCTCCATGCTGAAAATTAGCCCTCAGTCCTTATTTTTGGCCTGGATTAAGCCTGGTTTTATGTTTTTTGTATTTTAGGATCTGGACAGTGCTTTAACAGCCAAACAGAGTCTAGAGAAGGAGATCAGAAGCCTCCAAGATAGGCTGGCTGCTAGCCAGAGGGCTTGGGAAGCCTCAAAGCAGGAACTGCACCACCTGAAGAGATGTTCCAGTGAGATGGATGGGAGTCTGAAAAGCAGCATAGACGAGGCCAGGACTGCTCAGAGCCTGCTGAGTGCTTTTAAAGAGCAAGTTGCTACCCTTCTTAGCAACAGTTCTGTAACAGTTAAACCCTCTGAGGAGGCTATCATGGAGCGAGTTCGAGAACTTGGCCACAGGGAAGAGAGCAAAAAGATAGTAAGTGGATTGCTTCTGTACCTATTCAATCTGCTTGATTTTTGTATGGCTCTTTTTCCATATTAGCTATAATTCCATACTCTGCATGTATGTGTTGCATTTATGATAGAATCCTAATTATAGTGGTCCTATAATATTTTTTCACAGGACTCCTGCCTCATTCAGTATGCAAATTGGACAGGCCTGGGCCCAGAACGACTTTGGATCATTCACTGAAGTTATAGAGTTTGTTATGAAGCTGATGTAGTCAGGAAGTGAGACAGGAGTCCTCAGGGAGGGGAAATGATGCTCTTGTGTTTAAGACACTGAACTGGGTCTCACTTTGGTGTGACTTTGGGTAAATTACTTGATTGGTCTGTTCCTCAGTTCCCCCATCTGTAAAATGGAGTGCTCACAGGGTTATTCTGAAAGTAAATTCAGTAACATTAGGTGATCAGAGGCGCCTGTGAGTGGCATCATAGGAAAGTCTAAGAATGAAGGAAACATTCTTCTCAGAGCAGAGTTTTGATGTTGTGCAGTGTATGAGGCACAGGACCACACATTAAACAACGAAGAAAAAAAATGAACTTTAAACATCTGCCTCCTTCACTGATCAGTCCATCGTGCACAGTGAATAAGTCATGGTTTCTGTGAGGGGAAAAAATAAGAAGTGATCATATAATTAAAGACTGAAGGCCAGATCCTAGTCCCCCTTACGTGGCACCTGTACTCTGACAGCCCTTGCAGCACCCTGGTGAGGGAGTGGCCGTTATGTTCATCACTACAGCTGTTTTGAACTGTGAAACACTTCATTGAGAGCCATGGGGAGGCTGTTGTAAGAGCAGTCTTAAGGGCGGCACCAGCTCCTGGAGCTGGCAGAATTGAGGAGGCACCAAGGTAGCTTTAGAGCTCCTCCTCCAGGGATGCTCCTGAGAGGTGCAGCACAAAATCTAGCCCTAATAATTGACAGCCCTAATTTTGGCATTTCCTAACATTTGCTTGCTTCACTTTGTAGCCTTAATGTTCATTTAATGCAGCTGTTTTGTATAGAACTTCCTAGCTTTTTTAGAAAAAAGGAAGAAGGAATTGATGGAAATGAATTCCATCATGTGCAAGTATTTGCTGTATGCTAGTAGAACATTGTGGACTGCACAACATGTGCAAGGAATGAGATAGCAGCCTTTGGTGTTCTTACTTATGCATTGTAATTTGGAAGAGGCTATAGCCTTCTTCAGAATCCTGTCTTCTCTTCCATCTGCACCTTTATTATTTGAGCCCCAATTCCTTACACAACACCATATTCCACAAAGCATCTACATATTTAAAACTAAAACCCCACTCAATTTTCTAATACATGCATATGCACAGATCAGGTGGAATATATCTATTCCATGGAAATTATGAATCTATTTATGTGGGCATTGCCAATGGAACACTGGCAGATTGTTTTTTGTTAAATGTTAAAACAAATGTGCATATGTGAAGTACATGATTGTTAAACCCTTATAACTCTGCCACATCAAAAACTATTTTCATTGGACCACTGGAAAGCATTTCCTAGGGTCTACGTCTTTGCCAAATTTCAGGTTTCCGGCACCTCCCACTGAGGCACTAGAACTTTTTTTAATTACAAAATTTTGTTTTCACTCTCTCTGACTGTCACAGTAACTGGTATGCTTTAAAATTCCAGATCTTCTGAGAATTTCTTGTACGAAATAATATTTTGTGCATTTATTGACTGCTTGCCGTCTTTTTATACAATACACTTGATTGGAATGTTTAACTGGGAACAGATTTAAGCCCAGTGATGATTAAGAGCAATGTCTGCAGTTTAATAGGGATGTCTTCAGGTGATTTATGTCTTTTATATGACTCAGTCTCATGCTGGATCTGTCCATTTAGTTCTCTAACCATGTTCAGTCCCTTTGTAGCTGTAGTATATAGTACATGCAGAAATTGTAGGAATTGCTTCACCACTGGCTCTTTCTGGCTGTTACTTTCTTCTTTCATGCCAAGTATTCATACTGGGCTGCCATGCTGGTCATCTCACATCTTGAGTGAGAGGAGTCGTCCTTTATTTTCTGGGGAAAGAGGAAAAAACATTTGAGCGTATTTGCCATGGTACTTTAGTATAATATGCTAAAGGAAAAAATCAGTAACTAAGCTACAGTAGACACCAATTTTAAATCTTTGTTGTCATAGATTTAGACCCAACATTTTGATTGTGTTTTTTAAGACTAAGACAGTTAAGTGTATACAAAACCTAATGGAAATAGGTATATTTTAATTGATTTTTTTAAAACAAAGTAAAACTGATTAGTCTAGTTTCACTTTTCAAGTAAAGAGAGAGGCAAAAAGTAAGCAAACAGCATTAATAGTGAAAGCAATTTCAATAATTGTGTTAGTAACACAGGTGAAGACATTAATTTAAAAATTGTGTGTGTGCACGTGCCCATTAATGACTCGGATAATGGAGTGGAGACAATGCTTGTAAAATTTCTGGATGACATCAAGATGGAACAGAGTTGCAAACACTCTGGCAGACAGGGTTAGAATTCAAAATGAACGTGACAAATTGGAGAATTGGTTTTAATTCAACAAGATGAAATTCAATAAAGACAAGTGCAAAGAACTACATATAGGAAGGAAAATCCAATGCACAAATGGCGAATATCTGTCTAAGTGTTAATACTGCTGAAAAGGATCTCAGGGTTGTAGTGGATCACAAGTTGAATGAGTCAACAATACAATGCAGTTGTGAAAAAGGCTAATATTCTGGGGTGTATTAACAGAAGTGTTGTATACCAGACATGGGTGGAAATTGTCTCACTCTACTCGATGCTGGAAAGGCCTCAGCTGGAGTACTGGGTCTGGGTGCCACACTTTAGGAAAGATGTAGAGAAATTGGAGAGAGTTCAGAGGAGAGCAACAAAAATGATAAGATTTAGAAAAGCTGACCTATGAGGAAGGGTTAAGAAATTGGGCATGGTTTAATCAGTGAGAAAAGACTGAAGGGGGACCTAATAAGCCTTCAAACATGTGAAGGGCTGTTGTAAAGAGAATTGTGATCAATTGTTCTCGATGTCCACTGAAGGTAGGCCAAGAAGTAATGAGCTTAATCTGCAGCAAGGGGGAGTTAGGCTAGATATTAAGAAAAACTTTCTAACTGTAAGGGTTGTTAAGGTCTGTGTGGGGTGCAGGGGCTCCCTGAATCCCCCCCTCCCCCAGCCAGGTCCCACTCTGTCATTTACTCTCTCTCTCTCTCTCTCTTCCCCAAATTGGCAGCACCTGGGGGAGCTCTCTGAGGCAAACACGCACCGGCAAAGGATTGTCTTCTCTTCCTCTCCTCCCCTTGCAAGAGAAGAGGATCTGGCTGAAAAGATGGCCAGTCTCTCAGGCAGTCTCTTGGGATTTAGCCCTATGGGCCTAGTCTGTCAGTCTATTGCTTCTTTGTGGGGTTTACCTTTTGCCTCTCCTTCTGGGGCATACTGCTTTGCTGCCAGTCAGACCAGCTTTGTGAGCGGTGCATGAGGTGGCTGTCTCCTCCTCGGCTGGACCACCTCCGTTACCAGCAGTCTCTGGGACAGAGCAGCCTTCTTACTATTCACTGCCCAGTTCTGCTGTAAGTTTTCTTCTTTTAAGCTCTTCTCCCTCCAGGCTGAACAAACCTTGCAAGTGTGCCTTGTTAGCGCTGAAGAGGCCAGGAAGAGTTTGTTAGTCTCCTCTGTACCAGAATGAGGGTGTGTCCCATCACACTCTGGAATAGGCTTAATGCCCATGATTGGAGATTTTAAACAACAAGTTGGACAAACCTCTGTCAGGGATGGTCTAGGTTTACTAGGTTCTGCCTCAGTGCAGGGGTCTGGACTTGATAACTTCTTGAGGCCCCTTCCAGCCCTACATTTCTAGGATTCTGTGTTCAAAAATGGGCACCTTAAGGTAAAGGTTCTTGCTCTTCAGAAGTGCTGAGCACTCAGCAACTCCCATTGAAAATCAGGCCAGAATTTAATAGGAACTGTTGGGTGCTCATACCTCTAAAAATTAGGCCTCTTATTAGGCCATTTATTTAGATCTAGGAGCCTTAATTTGGGCTCCGATTTTAAAAAATCTTGTCTTTATATTTAATCTTGCTAGCATCCATTTAACCACACTCATACCAGTAAAATATGTATTGTGCTTTCTGGTTTGAACAGCTGATGGTTGTAACAGAGCAGTTGATGTGCAAATGCTTGCTTTTACTGACTTGCTTGTATAATCAGATTGTGCATCGAATGGGAGTAACTTCAAATCTAACAAAAGATTAAATAATTTTCTACTGGAAGAGAATGTTATGTGAGCTCGATCCCTTTGATGGAAAACATTCCATAGAGAAGAAGGAAAACTTTTTCCTTCAGAAATCCATGACCTGGGTCCTGTGTGTGCTATGTCAGCTCCTCTCCAAGAAGCCTCACAAAAGATGCAGAGAGCAGTGTTTGCATTGTCCATGTAGATGTAGACCAGGGATCCACAAGAAGCTGCAGACCAAACTCACAGATCCCTGACTGGACAGTGGTGTAGAAGTTCCTCCATGCTCTATTTAGGCACTTTCCCTTTATGGCCGCATGACTAGTTCACAGGCCGTAATGAATTTGCTTCCCTGACTTGTTCTTAAAAGATCAATGTGTGGAATTTCTCTTGAGGATTCGAGAGTTCAGTTGATTGAACCTTAAGGGTAAGGTTTTTTCATTTAATATTGTTACAAAGATAGATTTGAATTAAATCTGAGTCTTTCTGACGTCAAATGTATCCGGTGTCTCTTATCTTAATTAATCTTATTTCTGCTGTGTGACTTTGCAGCCCTGATCAGATAGGAACTTTCCCAAAACATGCCTTGTGTTTGGATTGTTAGCAAGTTGAACAAAAAACTCTATATGACAGTGGAGGTGTGGGTACTTAAAGATACTGAGTCTGCCTCTGATCTTGTTTGTACCCACATAACTTAGGTGACTTGGACTTTACAATACATCTGTTTTATACCAGTT